GTGGAGCTTGTGTCGACTTAGAAAATAACTTCACCTCACGTCTGCCCTCACTACCTGTTTTTGACTTTTTTGGTGTGAAAATGTATGCTTGTGGAGCAGGAGAATCGTGATCAAGCTTCTGGTGACTTACTTTCAGCGCAAGCACAGCAAGGAGGTGAGTGGTGCAGCCTTTTCAGAAGGTTATTTCCAGGTGACTTTCATTTATATATATACATATATACATATATAGATATATACATGTATACATATATACATATACACACATATATATATATATGCATTTATGGCATCCGTTTTAGGTTGACTCGGTTCCCCGTTCTGTACTCATGGCTGATAATTTCGTTCCTGTTCCCACGTTTCTCCCTTTCAAGATGGCTCTGTTGCCCTGTTAACTTGTAACCACACTCTCTCAGGTGCTAGACCTCATGGCTCGCATCCTTGGATTCTCAGAGGAGGACAAGCAGCGGGTGGGGTTGGGAAACAGCAGGCCACACGGGGGTGGGTGGGAGTAGACGCCTTGAAGATCTATCCTGTGCACACCTCTTTGTGCTGCCCTGTTCCCTACCCAACTACCACAGGTGCTAGACCTCATGGCTCGCATCCTTGGATTCTCAGAGGAGGACAAGCAGCGGGTGGGTTGGGAAACAGCAGGCCACACGGGGGTGGGTGGGAGTAGACGCCTTGAAGATCTATCCTGTGCACACCTCTTTGTGCTGCCCTGTTCCCTACCCAACTACCACAGGTGCTAGACCTCATGGCTCGCATCCTCGGATTCTCAGAGGAGGACAAGCAGCGGGTGGGGTTGGCAGCAGCAGGGCACATGGGGGTGGGAGGAGGAGCAGCAGGGGGGGTGAGGGGCGTGTTTGGGCTTCCGGGGAGGCTGGTGGGGGGACTTTTTGGAGGCGGGGCGAGCGTGGGGGGAGTGGGGGGAAGCACTGGCGCCCTGGCAAGCATTGCAGACGACAGCACAGTGAGTGGCGGTTCTATGCATTGTCAGAGTTGTTTGGCATGGTGAGTGGGTTGTCTGGCACGGTGCAAGGGTTTGTTTGGCACTACAAGTAGTTTTAAGGCTTCCTTTCTCTGTTCAGTGTTTTTCTTAGAAACTTCCCTATTCAGGTGGGAATTATGTAGCTGCAAACAAACCCTCCTACTGCATCCCTCCACCCTCATTTCTTCCACACTCTCCCAACCCCTTCTCCCCTGCAGACCTTCACTGACCTCTGGATGGACTTCCTTCTCAAGGAATCCGAATCAAGGAATCACAGCCTTCTTACTTTATCCTCTCCCTTCCCTCTGCACTTTCCGATTCTCATCCCCCCCCGTTTGCAGGCCTTCACGGACCTCTGGATCGACTTCTTCCTGAGGGGATCCGAATCCAGGGATTACACAGATTCACTCCCTTCTTACCTTTTCCCGTCCCTTCCCACTTCACTTTCGCCCCTATCTGCAGACCTTCACGGACCTCTGGATTGACTTTCTACTCAAGGAGTCCGAATCAAGGGATCGTGGAGAGATGCCCTCCGACCCCTCGTTACAGTCACAATCAGCCAGCCAGCACCAGGGGAAGCAGGACCTCTCTAGATTCAACCAGCACCACCCAGACCACCAGCAGCACCGCCAGGAGCTTTTGCAGCAGCAGCAGCAACAGCAGCAGATGCACCAGCAGACACAGCATCAGCAGGACAGACAGGCACATCAGCGATCCTCATCCCACCCCTCCTCCCCCCGCTCCTCCTTCTACTCCCCTTCTCCCTCCAGCCCGCCCCGCTTCCCCGGCTACCCCGCCTTTTCCGCCGCTCCGGGCAGCCCGCCGAAATATTTTCAGCCCGTGTCGCCCCGGGCTTCTGGAGGCGGGCTGGGCGGCGGGGCAGGCGGATATGTTTTGTCTCCGAATGCGGGCAGGTGGAGAAGCAGCACTAGCCCTCAGAGGGAATCGTCCCAGGCTGTAGCGCAATATGTGGCATCTCCTGTTGTAGCAGCACCTCCGGCTGTAGCGCTGGGGTTTTCGGTTGCGGGATCGCAGCAGCAGGCAGGAGAGAGCTACCGTTACCGAATGTCAGACCACAACCCAGTTGGGCTTGCTGGGACGGCGTCGGTGGCTGTAGCAGCGTCTGCTACAGCTGCTGCTGCGTCTGTGGGAACAAGAGCAGGGGCAGACGGAGGAGCAGCGGGAGCAGGAGTGGGGGGCGGAGGAGGAGGGGAGCTGCCATTTATTGCAGCAGCAGCCCAGACCCATAGGGATCCTATGCACAGCCTCCCATCCCCTTACCTGCCTGGCATCCCTGGTCTCGGCACTGGCATGGCTGGTGCACATGGAATGGGCGGCACAGGGGGGTTTTCAGGTGCCGGCACAGGTGCTTCAGGTGGTTTCTCAGGTGGTTCGGTCTCCGCAGGGATGATGGGTGGAGGGTCATCAGTGCCAGGCATTTCAGGGGAGCTCTGGAGTGGGTCAGCAGGGGCAGGGGGAGGTATATCTGGGGCAGGTGGGATTCTGGGCAGTGGACCAGGAGCAGTGGTGGGAATGTCTCCAGGAATAGGGTTACCACAGAGTGGAAGTGGTAACGGCATGTTACAGGGGTATACACCACCGAGCATGCACAGGCAAGGGTCTGGTGGTATGAGTGGTGGCAATGCATTGTTCAGTGCAAGTGGGGGAGGGATGATGGGGGTGGATGGTGATGTGGACTTAGATGGTAACGGTAACGCGTCAGAGTTTTCGTCGGTGCCTTTGAATATGGGCCCGGGGCAGAAGGCCACTGCAGCATTGTCGTCGCTGTCAGCTCGTAGTGGTCAAGTGGTGGTGAGTGCAGCTCGGAACTTGTTTGGGCAACAGGAGAGTGAGTCGGCACTACAACTGTAGGCTCTTTCTGGGAGTGTGACCGTGACTGGTGAAACCTTATTTTTATCGTGTTTGGTATTGGACTGGACTGGATACTTCACTAGTTTAACAAGCCATTAGCAATATCTTATGTAGCAACATTGCGTTGTGATTTGTTATTTTAGGTTACCATTTAGTACCCACTATTCACTGTACAGAGAACAGATTGCGGGAATCCTAAAGAGACCGCATTAAAGGATGTACCCGAGGTCGCTTTTTGCTGACCTGTCGATCGGTCTCAAGTACCACTTGATTGCGATTGGCCGGAAGATTCAAAAGCCATCGGAAATCCGTGGGTTGCTCGCAGCCTCTCACAACGCGAAATTTCGCACGCGCCAATTCAGGCTCGACTGTCTCCAAACAAATTCGTCCAAAGGTGTGCTGTTTTCGTTCCGCCAATCAGGCACCGAGCCGTTGGGTGAGGAGCGACCACGTCACTCGCTTCCAAGTGGGATGAGAAACAGTAAAAGCAAAACCAATGCTATTCCACGTGGCGTGCCAGTAGCTCGAGGGGGATTTTTCCCCTTACCTGGACAAATCAGAGAAGAATTCAACGCCTCATTGACTCAGCCAGAATCCTGGATCCCCAGTTTCTGGCTTTGGGCAAGCATCTCATCCCATCCAACCCATGACCCCACCCCCTCTTGCATTCATGTGCACAGCCATGATTCCCTTCTAACACCTGGTGCAGTACAATTCGGTACGTTCAAGTGTGTTTCAGTGTGGTAAAGCACCTCACTCTGAGGCTGATGTTGTGGAGTGGGTCTTTTTTGACAGCTCATTGCAATGCATTAGGACTGAGCATTGCAATAGTTCCTAACAGCTCATGAGAACGTAGCAGCATAGCAGTGAGGAACAGAGCAGAGCGAAGAGAGTGATTCATTAGGGTTGCTTGTAACGGACAGAAACAGTATAGGACGTTCAAATTCCTGGATTTGTTGTCAGGGTGATTGGTGTTGCTGAAGCGCCTCAGCTGCTGAGGTTTGTTGATGGTGCCTCAGCGGACTTGACCAGCTTCCAGTTTGCGGACCAGCTTGCACTGCTGCTGGTTCAGAAGGCATTGCACTTGTCTAGTGTTACATTCGTTCCGGTCGTGAAGTTCCTGAATTGCAAGAATTGGCTGTTGCCGTCCAAGACGTCAGATAGCATATAAATTCTAAATGTCGACCGAATTCATGGCTGCGAAGACCGCGAAGGACGGCCGTGCCCTTCTCAAGCCCGTTGTCGTCCGACAGAAGGCCCAACAGCCAGGGACGGATGGTTCTGATCTCGTAGCGAACCTCATAGAAGCAGCGAAGAAGATGCAGATTCGCAAGCTGAGACGAACGATCATAGAAATCAAGAAACAGAGCAGCAAGAATCCGTCTGGAGGTAGAGCTTCAGGCGTCATGTCGCCAGCACTTGGCCTCGGAAATGGTGCGTTACTCTTCTTTATTTGAACACCAACCAGTCTGCATTGTCAGCTAGAATTCAAAGCAGCGACAAAACCTAGAATAACATACCTCTGCGTTTATTTATTCTGGCAGTCTCTGCACTGGAGTCCAGACCACTCAAGACTGCACCTCTGGTTCAACCAAGCATCAACGGGACCGATGACAAAGGCCGATCGGCGCTCCATTTCTCCTGCGGAATGGCATCTACAGAATGTGCCATTGTGCTGCTAGAATCAGGTAAAAAATCACCTGCTTGCTCAGCGCAGTGCACTCGGTAATTGTAAATAAAGGACTTGGCGATCACAGGTCCTGAAACAACTGACTTGTTTTGCTGGTACAGGCGCTGAGGTCAACGTACGGGACAACGAGGGGTTCACTCCTCTCCACATGGCAGCCGGCTACGGTCGCAGTCAATCAGTCGAGCTCCTTCTCAAAGCAGGTGAGTCTTTCCTCCAGTCGATCCCTCCTTTCAACCCCCAATCAGTTGCGTTTTCTGTCGAACCCAAACTTTTCCTGCCAGAACCCACACGTGCTTGTCAAACCTTCACACCCAGTGACGGAAACACGAGGAACAAATTTTGCTGAACTTGCACACACACCCACTGTGTCGCACAGGAGCTAACCCGTTCGTCAAAGACAAGATCGGACGCACCCCGCGGGAACTCGCCGTGGAAATCCGAGACACTGGCATGCGTCACGACGGCTCCTCCGTCCCTCGCGGCGACATGGAGTCGACAATCACTCTCCTGGGCAGCGCAGAGTGGAAAGAGCACCAGGCGGCGAAAGAGAGACAGCACAATGCGATTGGTGGCAACTCTGTGGAAAGCAGCGGTGGTTCTGCTACAGATGATGGGACGAAGCCGGCTGTTGGGACTCCGTTGGACGAGCTGCTGGTTGCGGCGCAGGCGGGGGAGGCTGACGGCGTGGCGAAGGCGCTGGCGAAATTGGAAGCGAGGTCGGATGTTACATGGATCGCTGGGCGTGCCGCTTCTCTCGCGAACGCTTTCTCAGGTGCAGTGGATTGCGCTTAGTTGGTAGAAATTCAGGGCCATTGTCATGACGTCTTGCCTTACGTGATTTCGTCTCGGTTCTTGATTGTCAGTCCCTTCTCTCCCGCTTAATGTTTTGGTCCTGGTTCATTGCTCTCTCAATCTCTCACCCGCTTCTCTCTTGACTCAACCACTCACCCACTATTCACTTCCCTCCACCAACCACTCACACGCCTCGCTCATCACTCAACCACTTTCCCGCCTCTCTCTTCCCTCAACCACTCACTCGCTCTTTCACCACTCAACCACTCACCCGCCTCTCTCTTCTTCATCTTGCAGCGGCCTGCCGAAATGGCCACGTAGGCATCGCCGAGACGCTGCTCAAATCTGGAGCGTCCGTTGATGCTGTGGACGGGGAGGGAGCGACGCCCCTGCTGGCCGCTGCTGACAGTGGCTTCGCCAGGTAAGAGGGACTGCGGGGAACGCTTGAACCTGTTTGCCGTTCTAGTAACTCAGGAAATAAAAGAAAGCACTGACTGACAGACACACAGAGAGAGACACACACGCACACACACACGCACACACACACGCACACACACACACACACACACACACTCACACACACCCACACACACACACACACACACACACACGATTCACGGACCAAGTTATGAAAAAGAGCGGAAAGCACCTGACTTGACACGATTCATTGCATTCTCAATGCTCCCACCAGTTCCTCCTCAATGCGTCCCTGTTGTCCCCAATTCTCCCCAACTGCTCTTCCAACCTCCCCCAATGCTCCCTGAATGAACACTCAATGCTCCTCTGTGGTGCGTCCCTGCATGTGTCCTGATTCTTCCCCTCTGCACCCTCGCTGTGCCCCTCTGCGTGTGTGTCTCATGCAGCTGCGTGCAGCTCCTGCTTGAAGCTGGCGCTCAGCCTAATGCTCCCCACAGTACTCCACTAGTGTTCCACTTTAACACCCCACCGCATTGCTCCCTCCCAATGCCTCCCCAACGCGTGTGTGTGTTGTGCAGCTGCGTGCAGCTCCTGCTAGAAGCTGGCGCTCACCCTGATGCCCGGGACAAAGTGGGAGTGACGCCCCTTATTGCAGCTGTAAGTCCACTATAGTAAACAAACTAAAAGCTGACTCTGATACTTATCTCTGCTTTGATTGACTGTTTGTCTCGGAGTTTGCCTTTGTGCCTTCTGAGTCAACTCAGAAGCCTAACATGGCACACGTCTCTCTTCCACCCGTTTCACAGGCGTACAACGGGCATGAGGAGGCTCTCTCAGCGCTCGAGCTGCTGCTATGACTCCCGAGGTAACACAGAATCTTAACGTGACTCACGTCTCTCTTCCACCCGTTTCACAGGCATACAACGGGCATAAGGAGGCTCTCTCAGCCCTCGTGCGCCACGGAGCCGCTGTGGACGCGCGGTCGCATGGAGGCGTCACGCCCCTCATTGCTGCCGCAGAGGGCCGCCACGCATGCTGCATCCGCCTGCTCGTCCAGGTGAGCTTTTCTAGGCCTCTGAAAGGAAACAGGATGTATTGAGACAGGACGTAAGGGTCATCAAGAAAGCACGCTGGGCTTTGCATCCATGCGTCATGCCATGCCCCTTATTGCTGCTGCCAAGGGCCGCCAAGCACACTGCCTCCACCTGCTCGTCCACGTGAGCGTTGCAGCCGTTCACACGCTTTAGGGGGGCTTTGGAGGACACGAGCTGTGAGAAATGAATCGACTCTAGACATAGAGCTGTGAGTCAGGGAACGGCTCTGGGACCGCTGCATTCACTCGCTAGCTGTCAATCACCCCGACGAACAGTTAGTCAGTACATGTCTTTCCTCCCCCCTTCCTACCTCTCTCGGAGGGCAAGACAGTGCTGATGCACGTAGTGGGGCACAACCCAGTGCTGGCAACAGAGGCGCTGCTGGCTGGAGGGAGGCAGCGCAGTGACTCTGGAGAGTGGCAGAACAACAGAACAACCAGTTATCATCTCTCCATTTCTCCCTTTCTCCACCTCTCCCTTTCTCCACCTCTCCATTTCTCCCTTTCTCCACCTCTCCCTTTCTCCACCTCTCCCTTTCTCCACCTCTCCTCTTCTCCCTTTCTCCACCTCTCCCTTTCTCCACCTCTCCATTTCTCCCTTTCTCCACCTCTCCATTTCTCCCTTTCTCCACCTCTCTCTTTCTCCACCTCTCCCTCTCACTTTCTCCACCTCTCCCTTTCTCCACCTCTCCCTTTCTCACTTTCTCCACCTCTCCCTCTCACTTTCTCCGCCTCTCCCTTTCTCCACCTCTCCCCTTCTCACTTTCTCCACCTCTCCCTGTCTCCCTTTCTTCCCTCTCCCAAGCAGGCGGGGGCGGACGTGAATGCACGCACGTCAGAGGGCAAGGCAGCTCTGATGCACGCAGTGGGGCGCAACTCACTGCCGGCAACAGAGCGCTGCTGGCCGGAGAGAGTCAACCCAGTGACTCAGTGAAGGGTGGCAGAACAACAGAACAACCTGTCATCACCTCTCTTTCTCTCCCTTCCCTGGCCCCTCTTCCCCTCCTCTTGAGCAGGCGGGGGCGGACGTGAATGCACGCACGTCAGAGGGCAAGACAGCTCTGATGCACGCAGTGGGGCGCAACTCACTGCCGGCAACAGAGGCGCTGCTGGCCGGAGGGGCAGATGTCAGTGCTGTGGATGGGGAGGGTTTGTCCGCCTTGCACCACGGCGCTCGCCTTGATGCTGCTGACTGCGTGTGAGTCCGGATTTTTGGTTGGCTTGTACGATTCCGTCGTAACCCCGGACCAGGTCAAGCCTGGCCAAGGTAGCCCCGAAGAGAACCGCGCCCCAGGGGTTTGTCCGCCTTGCACCACGGCGCTCGCCTTGATGCATCTGACTGCGTGTGAGTCCGGATCCTCGATAGACCGATGTCATGTAGTCACTTTTTCCAAACAAGGCACTTCTGGCAGGAGGGGCGGACGTCAGTGCTGTGGATAACGAAAACTTGTCTGCACTTCACCACGGTGCTAGCCTCAATCCTGCAGACTGCATGTGAGTGCCTCTCTTGTGGGGGACTCCAGTTGGCAGGTTTGAGGGGGAGGTAGGCACAGACATGAGCTGTAATCTACTGCCATCAGCTGGTGTGTGCCAAGGGCGTGAGCATGACCAAACAAAACCCTTTTTTCTCTCCTTGCTCTTGCATGTTCTATCGTCTACTCGTGTCCGTCTGCAGTGAGCTGCTATGTGCCAAGGGTGCGAGTATGACTAAGAGGTGCAAGAAGGGCCGCACTGCTCTCATGGACGCACCCAAGGGCTCCGCGTCTGCTGCCATCCTGGTGAGTGGCTGGTTGATCCTGTTGTGCAGTCTTAATTTTGAGACAACTCAAACGACATCCAAGGCCTCTTCTCTTTTGCTGCGATCGTTGTGAGGGGTTATCCAGCTGTGCAGTCTTGATTGTGAGCTGACTCAAACAACACCCAAAGGCTCTTTGTCCCTGCTGGGATTCGTGTTGTTGATCCTGCAGCACTCTCCCGCGAGTAATCGACGTTGTTTTTGCTGGTTTCTTTGACCTCTTACTTCTGGAGGGGATCCGCTGTCCTAGACATGGACACCGCGATAGGAGGCAGTAGTGAGGCTGTTGAACTATTATCATCCAACCCAACCAATGGCCTGTTTGCGTCTCATGTGTGTGTGTGTGTGTGTGTGTGTGCATCGCAGCATCGGGAATGAGTGCAGGAGGAGAAGTGGACGGCTCTGGAAGAGGAGGTCGCGAGGCGTAACTGGAACTCTCTTTCTGAGGCCCCTCAAAACTACCCAGCTAACTCAAACCAATCATCTGTCGTTCTATGCATCTATGCGTCTGTGTGTGTCTCTGAGTATGGGGCATGGTTGCCTGCAGGAGGAGAAATGGACGGCGTTGGAAGAGGAGGTGGCGAGGCGGCAACTGGAACTCCTCGAGCTGTTCGCTGATGATGCTTCTGATGCCGCATCCTCCAAGGCTAACGCACCCGCAGCAGCAGGCGCCAAGAGCGGCAAGGACAAAAAGAAGGCAGGGAAAGGCCGGAGCCGAACCCCCAAGGGAATCGCCTCCCTGACCAGCAAACTGCAGGGGCTGGCAGAAGGGCCAGGCTCGGCGGCAGGCTCGGCAGCAGGTCCGGTGGATTCAGCAGGTTTGGTGGGCGATGTGCAGAATCTGGTGGTGAAGACCCCAGAGTCATCTAGCCGACCTAGTATGTCCCCTGTGAGTTCGGTTATGGACTTTGGTCAGACCACTGATAGCTCTGGTATGAGCACTGCGGAAGACGAGGAGGGGGAAGGGGAGGGGGAGGATGAGGAGAGTGAGTATGACACAGAGGATATTTTTGAGATCATGGCGGCTGCTAGCAAGAAGGGCTCTGGTGGGAGTGGTGGCAGGGTTAGTGGCGGGGTTGGGTCTGGTGCTGGGGTTGCGGATGGTAATGATGGGTTTATTCCAGTTGGGAGCGGTGAGAAGGCGCCAAACAGAGTGAGTGAAGTGAGCGGGTGGCTGTCTGGGGGGAGCTACAGCAGGAAGGCTGCAGGCGAGGCAACAGCATCAGATTCAACAGCAGCACTGCTTAAGAAGAGTGAAGGCCCTGCGAATGCCTCTTATGCTGCAAGGGCCGCACAGAAGAAGAGCCCCCCTGCTGCTTCACCGAGCCTCACACAGCAGCAGCAGCAGCAGTCAAAGAGCAAAACCGCCCTGACCAAGGCAGTCAAAGCTCCAGTATCTGCTGCCGCCCAGCCGCAGCAGCAGCGACAACCGCAGCAGGCACAGCAGAAGGCTTCGCCTCCAGTAGCAGCAGCAGCAGCAGCAGCAGCAGCAGCAGCAGCAGCAGCAGCACCTGCTCCAGCAGCAGCGCATGCAGGAGCGTCGCCTTGGATCCGCGCCCTTGTGGGGGGGCAGGCTGCTTCAGCTCCATCTCCTACCGTCCCTTTGGCTGCAACTCCATCTCCCACTGTCCATTCGGCCCCAACTCCAACTCCCGGCCCTGGCAGCAACCCTGCTTCGTCCACTGGCTCGCCTACTCCCAGTGCGGTGCAGAGCGGTTCCAATGGATGCCCCTGCAAGCAGAGCCAGCAGCACGTTGTGGGAAACAGCAGTGAGTTGGCAAGGCGAGTGGCGGAGCTGGAAGCAGAGCTCAGATCCGCCAGGGCTGCAGCAGATGCGGCCAGGGCGGCTGCTGCAGCAGAGAGGGCGAGAGCAGCACAGCTGGAACAGCAGCTGATTAGTGGACGTAAAGCCGCCGAGATAATAAGCGCTCGGGACAAATCGCAGATCCAGGTTCTGCAGGTGAGACGGTGGACTTTTTCCTGCCCGCCCCCTCTTTCTCAGTCCTCCCCTCTCTCGCTCTTGAAGTTTGAGACCTTTGGTTGTGCAGTCTGGTTAGTGTGTGCGGTACTGATCGGTTAGGGTAGAAATAAGTTTGGCGAATATCGAAACTGCGAAAACACAAAACTTTTTTAGACTGTATTCCCGGTTCTGAGTCCCCCTTTTTTTTTTTTGTCCTTCCTGCATTTTTCCCTTTTTTTGTGTCGTGCACTGTGTCCTTTCTGCAGCCTTCGTGCTGAGAGTGAGGACTGCAGCAAGAGACTCCCGCAAGTGTTACCTTGCAGAGCAATCGCTTGCTCGACAAGACAACATATTCTCGCAGTTTTTAGCGTCCCGCATGCTGTCTTGCCATGCCTTATCACTCAAAAGGATGGATCCAGGCCGATCGGGTCGTATTGTCGGATAGGCGCATGTGGTGTGGAGGTGTTTGGGTAGATGGAGATGGTTAGAAGGAGATGCTGTGCTTTCATTGTTATTCTCGAAACCTGATTTGAATCATGCGTTTTTCAACCATCGCTTGCTTTTGTTCTTGGGTATTATTGTTCTTCCAGATCTCCTTGTCAGCTTGACTTCTGGTTTGTTTGTTTGCTTGTTTTCCCTTCTTTCTTTCGTTCTTTCTTTCTTTCTTTCATCCTTCCTTTTTCTCTTGCTTCTTGTGCTTTGTATTCGTGTCCCCCTCCCACTGCCTTCTCATCCCCTTTCATCTAATTCCTCTCTTCCTCTCCCCATTCTTCTCTCTTTCCTTACTCTTTTTCACCCTCCCATCCTACCTTGCTCTCTATCTCTCTCTCTCCCTCCCTCACTGCCTCCCTCCTCCCTCCTTCCTCCTCATTTCATCCCTCCTCCCTCCTTCCTCCTCATTTCATCCCTCCTCCCTCCTTCCTCCTCATTTCATCCCTCCCTCCCTCCTTCCCGCTCCTGCCTTCTCCTCAGGCCCCCCCTCCCCCTCCCCAATCCCACCTTCCCCCTGCCCATCAATTCCTCTGATCCTGATCCATCTCTTTCTTGCAGCAGCCACTGCATCAGCATATTCACTAAACTTTGAAAAGAAAATCCCTTCCCCAACCCTCCCCAATCCCACCTTCTCTCCCCTCCCAGCAATCCCTCTGCTCCCAATCCATCTCTCTTGCAGCAGCCACCGCATCAGCAGAAGCCTCTCGCCGCGCCCTCGCCTCCTCCCACTCCGACTGGCACTCACAGCTGCAGCGTATCCGCTGCCAGGCTGTAGCAGCTGCCATCACTGCTGCTACAGCCAGCTGGCAGGCTTGGGAGAACTCCCAGTTCCGTCCGAACTTGGGCGTTGCTGCCTCAGGGGTTGGTGTTGCAACGAAAACAGCGGCAACAGCAGCGGCGGCGGCGGCGGCGGCGGCGGTGGCGGCTGCAGCTGGTGCTGCGGCAACAGCCAAAGTAGCAGCTACAGCGGGTGGAGATAAGGCAGGCACAGTTTCAAACATATCAAACTCCTCTTACATTCCGAGCCCGTCTAGCCCTTCTTACGAAGCAAGCTTGACGACAGGCCATGCAAGTCACTTTGAAGCTGCTGCCACAGCTGTAAACGCTGCCCCTGCTTCCCCTTCACCTTACGGGATCCTTGAGGTGGCTCTGCTGTGTCAGCAGCTGAGCGATAGCACTGCTGCTAGCAGAGCCAATCCAGCGGCAGCTGAAGCAGCAGCAGCAGCAGCAGCAGCAGAGCCTATGCCACGCCACTCCAGCCACGCGACACCAGGGGTTCAATACAAGCCCTCGACCACCACTGAGCGAACCGCAGCTACGGCCGCCGACCCAGTCTCTCATGACCCCATGCTCTCATTCAAAGCATCCCTGCTTGCTGGAAAGACTGGCAGAGCCGCAAATGGTGCTGGCATTGCGGTGTCTCGTACTGCAAGGGCTGGTGCAGCCAAGCTTGGAGATGCTGATGCTTACCCGGCTTATCCAGCTGATGAGGATGTATCGTATCCAGCTGACGCACTCAAGTCAGCTGTCAGTTCTGGGAAGCTCGGCTTAGACTCTATCTCTCACGACGACGCAGCTGTGTCCCTCAAAGCTTCGTTTATTTCCGGAAAGCTTCTCAGCAACTGCACACTGGACCGCTCCAGCAGTATGGAATTTCTGCAAGGGATGAAACCAGGGATGAAAGCAGGTACGCTGGAGCCGCTTTTCTCTTCACCGCACCACCACCATGATACAACAGCAAGCATCATGCGGAAAATAGGTTCGGTGCCGAACTTGCTGTCGCTGGAGCACACTGCTGCTCTGCACTCCCCTTCACCGCTCCGAACCTCTGGATTTCCAGGGTTTAGGAAAGTGGAATCTTTTCCCGACTTCCAGCCCTGGAATGATGGAGGCTACAGCCAAGCCGGTAACAACCTTTTCAGCTACAACCCACCCAGTTACAATCTGAACCGCATTTCACCCAGCTACACCCAACCCAGCCACAACCAGCCCACCTCTAAACACCTCATACCGACTCCTTCAGACCACTCTATACCACAGCGCTTTCACAGTCCCATCCAGCCAGACAAATTCGTGGGGAGTTTCCACCGCCGGGTGGATTCATACCCTGATTTATCCTTTTCTGGGCTGTCATTTACACCCGGTCAAGAATCCCCATCGCCTGCTCTCCCGCTCAAGTCCCAGAGGCCCTTAGATCGAGTGATTCAGTCTCCTAGAAAGAAACAATCCTCCCTTATGCATCGGTCTTCCAGTGAAAGCTGCTTATCAAGCCTAGCTGAATCAGGCTTATCAGGTCAAGGGGAGGGGAAATTGTTGGGGAGAGCGAGAAGGGGGGCTGGTGGAGCGGACGCTATTCCTGAGAGGACCAGCGTGCTTGCTTTTGAGAAGCTGCCCTTTGCTCCCAAGAGTACGGGTGAGGCACAGAAGAAGGCGACTGGATGGTTCAGCCTTGTTCCCAGCCCTGACGTCGAATGAGGTAGTGAGAGCTGCCTATCGAGTCTAGCGGTATCAGGTTCAGCAGGCCAGGTGGGGGAACGGGGGTGGAATAGCTGGGGAAGGCGAGAAGAGGGGTTGTTGGTGCTGCAGATGTGATTCCTGAGAGGAGCAGAGTGCTCGCTTTTGAGAGGCTGCCATTTGCTACCAAGAGTACGTTTGAGGCACAGAAAAGGGCTTCTGGATGGTTCAGCTTGGTTCCCCCAGCCCTGGCGGTGAGTGAGGGGGCAGGCAGGAGTTGAGGTGTAGTGAGATGTGCGTGTCAATTCTAGCTGTCTCAGGGTTAGCAGGCCGAAGGTGGGAGGAATCGCTGGGGAAAACGAGCTGGGGGGCTGGTGGATGAGCAGCGGATGCGATACCTGTGAGGAGCAGCTTGTTTGCTTTTGAGAGGCTGGCCTTTTCTCCCAAGAGTGGTGGGTGAGGTGGAAAGAAATGCATCTGGATTGTCAGCTTAGTTCCTTTCTAGCCCTGATGCTGAATCAGAGGGCCGAAGTTAGGGTAATGTTTGCAACCAACGGTACGTGCGAGGAATGGCAAGGCATCAAACTAAGTGGGTGGTTCCTTGCCCTGACTGTTAATGAGAAAGTTATGTCAAACTTCAATGCTACTTATGTTGTGTAGGCTGTAGGGGTGTAGCTTATATGGGGTACAACCCAATTTAGGCTACCGTATACTTGTACTCAGTTTGATGACAATGCAACCAATCCTGCTCATTAGTTTTTGACATGGTTTAAGAGCAGTAGGTCCGTAGGACAGTTATTTTTCAGACCCACCATTACCTAGTGACCAACTGCTGTTACCGCATTACCCCACGCCCTACCCTGCGCTGCGCTGTCAGCGCGGGCCCTGCCTTGCGTCGCGCTCCCCCGCGCACGCCCTGCTCTGCCCCGCGTCGCGCTCCCCCGCGTACGCCCTGCTCTGCCCCGCGCACGCCCTGCCCTGCCCCGCGTCGCGCTGCCTCGCGCACGCCCTGCCCTGCCCCGCGTCCTGCTTCAGCTTGCGCCCTGCTGCCCTGCGCGTCGCGCCCTGCTGCAGCCTGCACGTCGCGCCCTGCTGCCCTGCGCGTCACGCCCTGCTGCAGCCCGCGCGTCGCGCTCTGCTGCCCTGCGCGTCGCGCCCTGCTGCCCTGCACAGCGCGCGCCCTGCTGCCCGCGCCGCCCAGCCCGAGTTGCCCTGCCCAACCCGATCCACCCTGCTGCTCGTGCTACTGCTGCTGCTGGTGGAGGTGCTGCCAGGAGTGCAGGAGGTGTCAAGATAGCAAGCAGGGATGATTGCATTGAATGAAATGTGGGTACAAGTACTAACCTTAACTTTGGGTTGTACCCCATATGGGCTACCCCACTATAGCCTACACAGAACTAACACATAGACAGTTTGACACACCCCTATAGGCAAAGTGGGGAGAACAAAGGGTCACAAGACCAGTCAAGAAAAGCAAAGCAAGCTCGGGGTGGATCACAATGTCACCACACACTCGAGCACAAGCAAAGGGCCACAAGGCCAGGTCACATGCAGAGGTATACATGCAACAACAACAGTACAGTGATCACTACCTAGCAAGAGCAAGCATGCAGGTATATATATCGATCACAGTACAAGCAAAGTCATGAAGTGAGCAAGTGAGACGAAACGGGCACAAAACCTAACATAGTACAGAAGCGCTGATGATCACCAGACGGAAGTGCCTTGGTGAATATATGAGCAATGTTGGCCCGAGTGCCGACGTGAGCAAAACGAAGCTGACCACCCTGCTGCAACTCTTGAGCTAGGAAGTAACGCAGAGCGATGTGCTTCGTTCTGTGCTCCAGTCTGTGCTCCTCACACAAGGCAATGGCGGCCTTTATGTCTACGTACAGATCTGGAGGAGAACGAGGCCGCTCTCCTAAGTCAGTCAGCACGTAGGTGAGGCAGCGTAATTCTTGTGCATCCATGGCTGTGGCGTAGATCTCAGCCTCACAACTGGAGCTGAGAACAAAAGACGAGCGGTAGACCGCTGTGAGAGTACGACGGCTTATGCCAGCTATGCTTGCTTGCCTTAACTTTATTATGCTATTTCTAGCATAGGATAATTATATGCATGCATGAATTGCTTGATTTCCTAGGCTAGGTGCTTTCCTATATTTTATTATAGTTATAGCACCGAGCTAGGTTGCGTGCACTGAATTCTGGCTTTTTGGTTGCCACCGAATTGCCTTCTACCGAATTCGAAAAGGATCTGTTCGGGACGCTTCGCGACCCGCGGAACCTTCGCGTAACACCTGGTTACGGGGCCTTGTGTCGAGCCTATATATAGCCTTGCGTTGTACCCAGGTGATTCATTCAATTCACATTCTCTTTTCTGAGCTCGATCCTAGATCCTCACACTTGGTAATCAGAGCCCGTTTACACGATAAGTTCTTTCGACCGCTAAAACCAGTCTTCAAAAAACCGCGGGGGCAACGCAGTCAAACATCGATTTCGGGTACGTAAAACCGGTTCCGTGTTTTTCGCTCCCCCTCGATTCAGTTTTTCGGACGCGTTGATGTCATGCATGGAGGGCCAAGGCGACAACTACGCGACTACGAGCGACATCGCGAGCGTCCGCACCGACATGGAGCAGACGCAGGCGACGCTTCGTCGACTCGAGGCTTTTCTGACAAGCCAACCAGGGTTCGCCACCGCAGCAGCAGCGACCGCAGCGAATGCAGCACCGACAACTCCAGCAGCAGTGGCGACATTGACATTTCACGGACCAATGGCACCACTGTCGCCGAACCTCGAAGTAGCACGACCGAGGCTCCCGGAGGCGTTCGATCCAAGCGCGAAGGGATCCGACGTCCGGCGATTCGTTGCCACCCTCGAAATTTACTTCGAGGCCATTGGCTGTTCGACCCCGCAACACGACGTAGCAAGGATTCGGCTCGCAGCGACACTGTTACGTGGACCGGCTCTCGAATGGATTTATTATAGTGACGTAGCCCGCGGGGAGAAAACGTGGCAGCAGTTTCGGGCAGATTTAATCGAGCGTTTCGAACCAATTAATACGACCTATATGGCGCGGCAGCAGATACACCGACACAAGCAATACAGTAGTGTAGCACAGTACACGCAGCAGATGGAGTTACTGTTCACCCGCATCACCGACCTGACCGAAGGCGAAAAAATCCAGGCATACACCGAAGGGTTAAAAATGGAGATTCGGCGGCAGGTGATTGCGGCGAATTACAACAGCTACAGAGACATCATGCGTGTTGCCGAGCGATACGACGCGCTGACTCGAGGTCAACCCGAAACACGACGCTTCACGCCGAATCGTACATTCGGCACGGAGCGATCGGCACCCCCCACGTTCACCGAACCGATGGATATCGACAAATACGACGCGAAGCAGCAGCCGACAAAATGCGAATTTTGCGGCGCAGCAGGGCATTAGTTTTTGTCGTGCTACAAAATGAAGAAAGCATGTGCGGCACTCCGGGACGGAAACAGTGGAGCACCCCCGAAGTAAAAAAACGGGAATCGCCAGTAGCCGCGGATCGACCTGGCGATCGCTTATGTCAGAATATTATCTTATTGTTCTAGCCTGTAGTGGGGTGCTCTATAGCGAGTACAACCCTTCTAGGGTTTGCTATTTGTATCCTCATTCCTGCTAGTTCAATCCTCTTTCTTTCTTCAAACTTTGTCATGCTATCAGAGCAGCTCGATCCCCTTGGATCGATCCTGTGGGTGGGTTTCCACCTCGCTTCCGCTGCTACCTTTCCTTCCCGCCGTGCGCCACGAGGCGCGCGGCGGTTTTCCTTCCCGCCGTGCGCCCCGAGGCGCGCGGCAGTTTTCTGCCCGCCGTGCGCCCCGGGGCGTGCGGCGGTTCTTTGCCCGCTGTGCGCCCCGAGGCGCGCGGCGGGCGTCTGCCCTACCTTCGCGGGCGTCCGCCCTACGTCGCGGCCCCGCCCTACGTCGCGGCCCCGCCCTGCGTTGCGGCCCCGCCCCTCGAAGCGGCCCTGCCCTACGTCGCGGCCCCGCCCCGACCGTCGCGGCCCCGCCCCGACCGTCGCGGTCCCGCCCTACGTCGCGGCCCCGCCCTGTGTCGCGGCCCCGCCCCTCGAAGCGGCCCTGCCCGACCGTCGCGGCCCCGCCCCTCGTCGCGGCCCCGCCCCTTGTCGCGGCCCCGCCCTCCAACCAGGCCCGTGGTGGGCCCATTTCACCACACCGCCTCCCCCCCCCCCCCCCCCCCCCCCCCCCCCCCCCCCCCCTCCTCCCCCCCCCTCCCCCTGCCATTTCCCGTCGCCCGTCGCGGCTCCTTCGGGGGCCGGGCGAGCTGTGGGGTGGCGGGTATGGGGGTGCTCGGTGTGCCTTCCTCCCTTTGCTCCTCCTCCTCCTTCGTCTCCCACTGCTGCAGCTGTCGCTGAGGGGGGTGGTTGTGTGGGAGACTCAGGTTTAGGGTTTAACGGGGGTGCGTGGGAGTGCAGCTAGCGGTGTAGCAGTGGGTGTGCATCAGGGGGGTGGGACTGTGTGCGGGAGGTTGAGTGGAGGTTGTCAGTTTGTCGCTCGCAGCACCTGTAGTCCGGGGCGCTGTCCCGGTAGCCCAGTCGTAGCCAGCTGTGCCAGCCGCCCGTGGGTCCGTTGCCCGTCCGCCGCTATTTGAGCCGCGGGGCCTGTTACTCCTGTAGTCCCGGCGCTGTCCGGTAGCCGCTGTGCCAGTGTGCCTCCTGTTGCCCGTGTGCCTGCAGCTTCAGCCTTCGCCTCCTATCTCCTCTCCCCTCACTCTCTCTCCTCCTCCTCACTTGCCCGTTGTGACTACCACTAGCTCTGCTCATAATTGTGAACTCTAAACTATCTCTTCTTGAACTTGTGCTCAGAATGTGTGGTGACATTGTGATCCACCCTGAGCTTGTACTACTTTGCCTGCTCTGCTGATTACACCCCACTTTGGCTATGGGGGTGTGTCAGAATATTATCTTATTGTTCTAGCCTGTAGTGGGGTGCTCTATAGCGAGTACAACCCT